TACTTGAACACATGACATGTTATGATGTCTGTTGAATGCAAAATGATATACACAAAAAATGAGCATGCATTTACAAAACCCAACATCTCTCTCTATATATACACACAATTAGCCGTGAAGGCATCTGCAAATGAACCAGCCGTTACACTTGAGTGCACACCCATGCGCTCTGACTGGGTTCGGTATCCCGACTGCTTCGTTTCTTGGGAAGTAAACCGAAGTACACAATTTTGCACTTTCGATTTGCGATTGTACGCTAATAATTTTGTTTATATATTTTTTCGTAACCAGCAATGTATAGTATATGTCATGAATAAGTGATAATTGTGTTTTAATTATGTTTGAGTTTTTGGTTGCATGTGACCTTTAAAGAAAAACAGAATATATAATAACATTCATTGTTTTGTTTTCTCAAAATGAATATGAATTAGCATTTAAGGCAAATAAAGATCATACATATAACTAGTAATATAGCACACACAAAAAACAGGGCAAAACAGTTTGGCATAACTCAATCCAGTTTAAGAAATCATATATCATTTATAATAAAGTAGTAATTTTCCATCAGTTAAACCTCCATTCACTTATTATCTTGAAATAGCATGTTAGATATGAAATTTATTTCTAAAATCATGCTAATGGTGAAAAATAACATTAACATACAACTTAACACAGTAATAAAACATAGCTGCATCGGACATTTATTTGCACGCCTTGGCATTCAGCCACACACTCTATGTCACAACTATCGCCAAACATCCACTATGATATACATCATACAATAACACAACATACAGCTTACAATACAAAAATAAAATAAAATTACATTATGAAATTGAAAATAAATTCAATTATATTGCAAGATTTGGTCAGTTAGCCCAATAAGGGGCATCCCTGGGCGGAGATCCCTCCGGTTGATTGGATGCCTCATCCTCGTCCTCACGTTGGCCATGACGAGAGCAGTGGAGGTGTAGATTCTTTCCAAGTCCAGTGTCGTCGTGTATGCCCTAAGCTTGCTGGACTCCCAGACAAAGGGGACGGAATGCAACTAATTGACGTCATCTTCGTCACTCACGACTGGTGATGTCATGTCTATGGTGAGTGTTGTCGCTACCTTTTTCTTTTGTCTATCTGGCCAATCGATAGATGCAAGTCTGTTTAGGCGTTGTGCAAGTTTCTGAAAATGGCAGGTAATAACGAATTACTAGGTTATTTTGATAAATTACACAAACATCAATCAACAAGAAACTGACAATGCCAAGGATGATTTAAAATGAGTAATGCAAAAGGAAGTTTGAATAAAAGAGAACTAAATTGAACAGTCACACTTTGCACTAGTTTTCTCAAAACTCAAATTATGCAATTCATCACACTTCATTGACCGAATGAAATATCTTATTTTCTAAAGAGGACACACAATCTATACAAAATTTGCTCTGAAGTTACATGCTTCCCAGTCCAGAGGTAGTAATACGTTATATATATTTGAACATTTATTGCACTTTCTATATAGTAATAATGATACTAGTTATAGATTTTCATCAAATTGCTATATTCAATCTCTTACAGTTCGTATTGAGCCCATTGCTGGTGTCCCCCGCCGTGATGTTGCTGGAATATTGCTAAAATCGGCGTAAAACCAAACTCAGTCAGTCAGTCGTATTGTTGAAGGCACAAGTATATTCACCCAGTAGTGACTGTATGTTTACACCATTAAGTCTTTGAGGTGTATTTAGAAGTGAATAATGCAAGACATGAATGTTTACGGATGCCACCGTCTTGTGAAAACACAAAGTTTCGTAGTGAATGCTTACACCTGACGAAGGGGTAAGCATTCACTCTGAAATATGTTTTCACATAATAAAGGAGTTGACATCCATAAACCTTGTCTCTACACTATTAATTGGAAATTATTTACTATTTATAATGAAAGTCACTACAGATAGGTCAAAATTACCTTCACATGTTACCCCTGACCATCCTTGATCATTTGTTATACAGTCTCCACACTCATCATCAGCTTTGCTGAAAAAAATAAACAATAACACGTTACTTTTCTTTGCATTTCCCCATTCATTCATTTGAGTTTTAAAAATACCCTTAAACCTGCAGCGACATTTATACCAACAAGCAAACTACAGATTTATCACTTTAGGTTATGCAATCAGTAAGTGAACGGCCTGACATAAACATCCTGATGAATGAAGTTTAGTTATCTCATGTGACATAACCTTGGAGTAATTACGGTATTGTAAAATCAAGGGGTCAGTTTGACTGCAATTTCACACAGGTGTGAAGTTAAGATTTATTTGGTCCAACTTGAAATCATGATCAAGTTACCGGTTATTCAAATCCATTTGCAAATGTAACTTTAGTATGGTTCATTGTGTGAAAATGTATCTAGGGAAGCATAATAATAAAATATTTTCCTCCAGGAGTAGTCGTGACACATGTTTCTCAGCCTAAATGAATAAAACAAATCCATTAATATATAATCTATTTGCTATATTTTTCAAAATTGTAGTATATTTTTAGATAGATTTATTTTACTTCACCAACCTTAGTTCGAGCAAAACAGTTTACACAGTCATGGGACTTAAATATACGTCCGTCAGCAAAATTCTCATAGACTTGCATGCTACTTTAGTGTAGCTGTGTAATTTTCATTAATTCAGTTTTCCATATTTGGTTGTCAAATTTTGCAGGTTGTTAGGAAATCATCTTGCTCACAGATACATAATTTTCCGCATTGTAGTTACATGAGCAACATATATACAACATTGCGTATTCTTTCCCCATAGACCGCCATGTTAAAAATTGACATAACCATGACACGCACTGAATTGAAAATAAAACGGAAATTATGTCTTTGTAGCTGAGATGACTCATGACCCATGTGCAAAATATGAACAATATCAAACGGATATTAAATAAATTCAAGACATATTTCTAGCTGCACCAAATTAACATGTAAGTCGAATAATGCATTAAACGTTATTTGACAACAAAATAAATTGGTCTTACCCGACAGGGTCGTGGTTCTGCGAGTTTTTCGCAGCCATTTCCATCTTTCTTTTCCAGGTAGCGAATTCTCTCTTCCAGTGATTGGAGGGAAACTGAGGCGGCTATGAAAATGGCGTCTCGCAAAGACTCACGGGAAAAACACTATGTTGTTGTTTTTTAATCTAAATCTAGCATTACAGTTTGACAATATCTTTCCACGTTATACAACAAAATAAACATACACTATACACCTAAAATGTCAGCTGTTTTTATAATGATTTAGGTAGTCTCGCGTGGACGTGATCCGGTCGCCATTGTTTTATTTGTTTACATTGCCGACATCGAAGGGGACCGTGAAAGGTGGAAATGAGCAGATTGAATGTGAGAACCCAAAGTGACAACAGGGCTTCATGGGCTTAAGGGTCTTTTTGGGCACTAATTGCTCCTCCTCATTGTCAAGCATCAACATGTAGGCCTAGAGATAATTAACAGTGAATAAATCTGAAAACATATTCACGGTACTTTAATAGTCCTGGGTGCCGTTCCACTAACCGGCAGCTTAACTGCATTTAAATATCTCCCCCCTATGCTATACATGTTCAGTATTCACCCCACCCCCGTCCCCACCCCTTCCCAACCCCTAGCCCCTTCTATGTCACCTATCGTTTATTTCAACTCTATCTCTTACTTATTAACAATCACTATTCCTATTTATCCCTCTTTTCTCCATTTTTAAGTTGGCTTTTTATTATTTTTATCTCTATTTATGTTTATAAACGTTTTTTTATTCCAAATTCAACTTAGGTTTAACGCCCCAGCATTTATATTTTTTTGGGTAAGGTGGTTGATCCCTTATTAACATTTATTATTTATTATATTAACTCCCACCTACCCCGTCGGGGAAATTGGCTTACGCCAGAAGCCGTTAATCATTTAATTTCGTCGTCGTCCACTAACCGATCTTATCTAAGATCAATCTTAGCAAGTTACGCCAATTTTACAATCGTTTTAGCTGAAAGTTACACCCGTTCCACTAACCGATTTTAGGCCGATTGTAGCCGGTCCCGATCTTACGATCCGATCCAAGCTTAGATCGAGACTCTTTCGTGCGAGAGATAGAGGAATGCGAGGCACGAGTTATCTCCCTTTGCATAGTCTAGCAAATGATGGAAGTAGTTTACGAACCAACTGAATGAGTGAGTGAGTTTAGATTTACGCCGCACTCAGCAATAGTCCAGCTATATGGCGGCGGTCTGTAAATAATCTAACTAAGATGCATAGCGTTCACTAACATGAGCGTTCATGTTAATGATCAACAGCATGAGCATCGAGCATCGATCTGCGCAGTTGGGAACCGATTACATGTGTCAACCAAGTCAGCGAGCCTGACCACCCGATCCCGTTACTGGCCTCTTACGACAAGCATGGGTTATTGAAGTTCAATATTCTAACCCGGGCCTTCATTGGTATTTTTCCAACCATGTGTAAACGTGGAGAAAAAAGCTAGAGCAAAATATTAGGGTAATGAGCACCTTGGTTTCAGATGCAAGTGCGTGTGAACGCTGGATATCAGGCATAATATAATAATAATAAATGCATATTTATAGTGCGCCTATTCCACATCCTGGGGCATGCTCAAAGTAATAAACTAAGAACAGGTTTTAAGTCTGGACTTTAAAAATGTCAATTGTGTCAGAGCTTTTAATATGTGCCTGAATAACACATGGCCTGCCTTTAGAATCCCCCACCAAATATGCGCAGTGAAATCAAACATATTTATGTCTTTTTGCTTCAGGCTGTCCGTATTCTTAACCATGACGTTGCAATATTGTTGTACAAATGTGTTACACCGACTCACTCGGTTGTGTTCCCATGACGACAGTGGTCAGACTGGCCTGACATTTGTAAGGCTTCAGTGCAGTGTTTGTTTACATCAAAGAAATATACAAATTCATTTCATGGGGGATTTTATGGGACGCTCACGGTTCAATGCTCGCTCTTATTTTTCACATAGAATAGGAAAGCCACCATTTTGGTTTCTCTACGATTGATTTAAGCTATCCTTAGTTGGTCATTACCAACTTAGACTTTGAATCCAAACTTTACGATTGACTTAGGTAAGATTGGTTAGTGGAACGGTATGCCGATCGTAACGTCACGCTAAGATTGGGATTTTATGGGTTTACGATTGGCGTAGGGCTTAGATCGGTTAGTGGAACGGCACCCTGATCGAGCTTCATGAGTCCTACTCATGAGAACTTGTGTTAGTGACAAATAGGTGATTTTTCAAAACCCTGTCAGGAGTAGGCAATATACGAAAATAATTTGCTGGACGTAAAACTTCATCATGTAAGTGATTTACCTATTTAGCTCCAAACATGCAAGTGTATTAGACATGCTTATATCATGTTCATTCTCTTCACAGTTCTACACCTAGATATACTATTCCCATGTATTATAAGTTAAATTATCTAATTTTACAGTATATATTGCTAGCTTATATGTAATGTCAGCTCAATATATCTGAGTGAGTGAGTTTAGTATTACGCCGCACTCAGCAATATTCCAGCTATATGGCGGTATTTATCCAATTATACCAGTTCATCTATTTTATCATTTTATAACCATTAAAACAATTATTATATATACTTTGCACTCATAGCTTTGTGTAATAATTTGTGTAATCAATTATTAAACCTCTCAGCCTTACAATGCATTGACACAAGTCACGTATAACATTTCTAAAAGAATCATTGTTTCAATTTACAGATACGTATTGTGGATCTAGGGACTTGTTGGAGATTGACAAGAGGCTTGGCTTGGTAATCATTTATAGTTACACCCTACCATGCTCCTAATTTCATTAAAGGAAATCTTAAAACAATATTTTTGTATTCATCAGCATTTAGTCAAAAACAAGTAAACACTAAAATGATACATAGAATAAATTTCTTTATCTTTGTGAAAAATATAATCACTCAAAATGTAACAGTGCGTGGATTCCAGTGTAATTATAAGTTGATATGTTTTTCAGTTCCAAGAAGAAGACCAGTTTTCTGTCCGCACCGCCAGTCGCTTGTTTCAAGAAAACAAGGAATCCGTCTGGAATGGACGGCAGTTTCTCATCAGGTTAGTCGTCAAAGATACTTCACTTCATAGGCCACTTCATTTTGGGCCATCCAAGTCTCCAGCTTACCCATGGCGCGGAGACGCTGATTTTCTGTAAGCCGTGGCATTACGTACGCGAAGTTTAGGTTGATACTAACGCGGTGTTCACAACATTCAGAGTCTTGGGAACAATCAACCTTTCTTCAATTTTCGGTGTGTGAACTTCAGGTTTAAAAAACATGCAAAAGGTGAATAAGTTCATTGTGCACATAGTGCACATGATGCGGCCAATACGCCACGTCAAATTTCATGCAAAGTGTTTGCTGCATATTTGTGGTGGGTTATTTTTTAATAACCTTTATGTTATGCATAGTTACAGTTTTCCGTTTGTATACATAGCAGCCTCTTACCGACAGTTTGAAGCTATGCATCTCAATTTGGTTGTACATGCATGAATATGTGTGATGTGAGTGATTTAATAATTAGATCATTAACATCCGAATGGAAATACACAGATACGATGTGTTTCACTGCCTTGGTACTGTGAGTGAACACAGTTTAGTTTTACACCTTTCTCAGCAATATTCCAGCTATATGGCGGCAGTCTGTAAATAATCAAGTCTGGACCAGACAATCCAGTGATCAACAACATGAGCATCGATCTGCGCAATTGGGAACCGATGACATGTGTCAACCAAGTCAGCGAGCCTGACCACCCGATCCCGTTAGTCGACTCCTACGTCTAACCCGGATCTTCACGGGTCACCTTGGTACTGTGTGTGTTTATGATTAAGGTGAATGTATCATAGGTAGGTTTGCTCAAATACTGTACGTAAATATTTCCTTCCTCATAGGGTACATAAAGATAAGTAAATCGTCTTGACGGACACCGTGCCATACACGTGATGAGGGTCAAGTATATGTTTATATGCAAATATTCACATTTTGCATTCTGCATAAACCCCAGCTGGATTCCCACCATCCCTTCAGATTTTGGCCATTATCGAGAAATTCAGCCGAACGTTAAAAGAACACATATATGACGAGCGAACGCTTTAACCACCAGGGTACCCTATCGCCCGATGTTCATGTGATTTCTTGAGGATGGTATTTTCGAATCACGAAAATGATGGCAATTGTTAACTTCACACTACCATCGTTATCAACACTACAATACGTGCATTTTCCCTGTGATGTTTGCTTCAATGAAAATACCCGTTTTTCGTTCTTTTCATAGATCTGCCATTTAATTATCCATTGAGGGTCATTATGCACATAATTTTATATCAAGATCGTCGGCGTGACTAGTTAACACTTAAACCACTTGGCTACCCCTTCCCACGCAATATTCTCAAGAAACCTCTTCTAAAAGCAGAATCGATTACACAATTCCGACTGTATGCCACAGCGATGAGCCGTGTCGCCCGTGACTCGTAATCATTAAAAATGCACATGTTATTTAGTTTAGCGAACCATTTCTATTCCACAGTATTCGACTTAACGATTTCTAGGCCTGTTTGTCAATATTACTGAATCGTGGATCACATACAAAAGGGGCATTTGATGATAATTCTGTTTCGTCTCATCTTCCTCAGCAACGATAACAGGAGTGCTTTACAAGTTTTGTCATAAATATTTCGTCAAATTATCGAAGGTGAAAGCGTACCAGCTTTAAAACAACAAACGCTTATGATTATGGGCTGGATGATATTGACTGAAATATACTACTCACACTTTGCTAAGGATCACAATAAATCCCTTACTTAATCATACATTTATAATTTGAAATTGTATCCATTTAAAACTGGACATATAATAATGGTAACCCTTCTTCGGGCAAACAGCCACTTTAATCTAACCTTATCCACTTGATACATGAGTAACCATAAAAATGGTTTTCATGGCACCAGTCAACCAATTTACAAGCCATGGAACGAGTCATTGACAAGTACAAAACACCTGTCAATAGCAGGTATGGGATCCACAAGATGAAATGGCATGCTGAAACTTCGGATCCATGCTTACAATAAGCGTAGATATTTAAACCAAATTAGACCCCACAATGATTTGATCCTTAGCAAAGTGTGAATAGTATATATCATATTTATTTCAGACCTGAATCAAAACCACCTTTAGCACTATCACAGCTAGCACTGTCAAACTGCTGACAGAAACTATATTACAGGTTTATTTGTGCATGAGAAAGATATAGGTATGTATGAAAATAGTTCAAGGTATGATCTATATAGGTCCTTTAAGAGCCTTATCCAAACAGAAATATATTTATCTGTGTTGACATCAAGAAATATCAGACGCACATTTGTTCAGCACCGACTATGTCTATAAGATTTAAGTATTAATAAAGGTAGAAGATTGTCTTTAGAAAGAAATATGAGAATTTGTCCATTATGCACTTCATCTATTGAAGATGAAATTCATTTTATATTTGTATGTCCATATTATGATGATCTTAGAAGAAAATATATTTCAAGTAATTATCTATCAAAATATCCAACAATAGCCTTTGTCCCGATTCTCACTTCCAGAAATGAAACTGTTATCCGTATCCTTTCTCTATTTGGAAAATATGCTGTTGTCTTGAGAAATGATAGGTTATCCAAGTAATTTCATAATTGCCATTGTATTATTATGGAATCCTAGAAGGGACATTGTCGCGATGTCGCGTGTCGCGTTTTGAATAATATTTTTCTGTTCCTCCAAAGGGCGACACGCGACATAGCGACAATTTTCAAGGTCAAAATATGTCGCGTTGTCGCGCGTCGCCCTATCTAAGATGTGTAAAAAGAAGCCTAAAAGTTCACTAAAACGCGACACGCGACAATGCGACATATTATATGTCGCATTGTCGCGTGTCGCGTTTTCGCCCTTTTCGATTACCGGTGCGCATGCGTAGAAAGTCAATGAGTCTACGCATGCGCAGGAAATGTTGTACTCTATTTCACACTTCAGGGGTCTTTTGTTACCTCCAATGGTTTTTATAAAGAAGTAGTACGCGTAATGATAATGGGGGCTGCTTTTCTTGAACTTAATGGAAATCTTTCATTGTTGCTTTGAAAATTATTGTATATATTGTAAATGTATTTGGCCAATCAAGTGTGTTTTAGCAGCAAGACAAATTATTAGCGCTACTATTCATTGTAATCACGGCACACGGTGGCTCTGTCATTCAAGGCGGGGCAATTTGCTGTGCAGAGTTGTGTCTCTTAGTCACACCAGAAAACTATGATCATAGGTTCGAATCCCAGCACCATACACACTCATCACTTTGGACATTTCACCCATATCAAGCTCACAGGTTGTGAAAAACTCAAATATTGTTAAAATTCAGGCCACATCGGCAGAAACATCAAGTGATGTCCACGAATGGGTCACTATGTTCCACAGTGTGGCTCCTGACAGAGATTCTTGGTACAGTCCTGTCCGACGCTGATGAACTTGTTCAACCAGCAGTGGATGGATACCAGGTAGAATGAGATGGTAATATCACTTAACCATCCAGCACCTCAAATACAGTTTTGGTCGACTTTGAACGTTATATTCTTCTTGGGAAAACGCCATACAAATGGAATGTTATCATTATGATTTTAAAAGCGGTCAAATCGCTTAGCAGAGTTGCGTACCCTTGGAGTGCCAGAAATCAACCCTCGCTCGCTCGCTCCCTCCCTCCCTCCACTCCACTCCCCGCTCCACCCACTCACTCACTCTACCCCACTCCACTCCACTCATCTCCACTCCGCTCTACTCTACTCCACACCACTTCGCTCCACTCACTCACTCATTCCACTCCACTCCGCTCCACTCACTCACTCACTCATTCCACTTTAGTCCCCTCCACTCCACTCCCCTCTACTCCGCTCACTGACACTTCTCTCACTCACTCATTCCGCTCCACTCCTCTCCACCCACTCACTCCACTCACTCACTCATTCCACTCCACTCCGCTCCAATCCTCTCCACTCCAAACATCGAAAACTAATCATGCTTGTGATAGTTTATAAAATCCGCGGCATAGTTGATAAAATGTCGCGTTGTCGCATTGTCGCGTGTCGCGTTTTGCTAAAGTATTGAGTACAGTATGTATTATAACGTATTTACTAAAACGCTACACGCGACAACGCGACATTTTGATGAAATGTCGCGTTGTAGCGCGTCGCGTGTCGCGTTTTGTTAAAATATTGAGTATAGTATGTATTATAACGTATTTACTAAAACGCTACAGGCGACAATGCGACAACGCGACATTTTGATGAAATGTCGCGTTGTCGCGCGTCGCGTGTCGCGTTTTGTTAAAATATTGAGTATAGTATGTATTATAACGTATTTGACTAAAACGCGACATGTAACAATGCGACAACGCGACATTTTGATGAAATGTCGCGTTGTCGCGCGTCGCGTGTCGCGTTTTGTTAAAATATTGAGTATAGTATGTATTATAACGTATTTGACTAAAACGCGACATGCAACAATGCGACAGCGCGACATTTTGATGAAATGTCGCGTTGTCGCGCGTCGCGTGTCGCGCTTTGTTAAAATATTGAGTATAGTATGTATTATAACGTATTTACTAAGGCAGGGCTTACATTACGTCCGTTTTTTCTTGTGTTGCGTCGTGCGTTACGTCAAAAAAACGCAAGTCAGTTATTTTATCATTTATACCTTACACTACGTCCGTTTTTTGGGTGCGTTGCGCTGCGCTGCGTTGAAAATAGGTCTGACAGTATTTTGGACGCAACGCAAATTGAAACGCAGAGGGAATTCCCTTGATGACGCCATTTTAACAAGGTATTTTGCCAACACGTGAGTAGTTCCGGTGAGTTGATTTTGTATTTTCTTGAACGAAACAAGCCAATGTAACATGTTATCCTCGTAATTGGATGACTTATCATTCCAGAATGCTTTGTCTGTTTGTATATGACTTAAACTATGTCATAAATATTAAGTAATATACCATATAATACTATTTACATAACTGCTGTGGTGGTGATTAATTCCTTCTCTTCTTCGAATTCTCCCTCTTCCTCCAAC